TGGGGAATGTGAAGAAAGAAAACAGGGGCAGGAAAGAAATGCGCCCTCCACCCAAACCACCCACACCCAAGCTACCTAGATGAAGGGGGGTGGGGGGTTCTCTACCCCTTCAAAAAGGCAATTGATTAGTTTCAGCTTTTCCAAACCGAGATTCGATATGTTTCTCAGGATCAAACGTCTTTGAGAAGCTAAGAGAGTAACATGGGGGATGGGGAATGTGAAGAAAGAAAACAGGGGCAGGAAAGAAATGCGCCCTCCACCCAAACCACCCACACCCAAGCCACCTAGATGAAGGGGGGTGGGGGGGCGGATGAGGGAGGGAAGGGGTAGGGTGGCGCTGGCCAGAGGATTGGACTGTGACCCCTTCTGGAAGACGCACTTAAGATGTGTCTTCCCTTTCCGGAAGCAAATATTTAAAGGAGAGAATAGATATCTAGAGGAGGAGGATGATGATTTATGCCTGGGTTTTCCCTCCAAGCATTTGCCTCCCTTATATTTACAGGCGTGGCCCCATTTGCAAGTTGTACATCTGTTCTCTTCACGTGACATTTCATAAAAGCCCTAACATCTGGGCAAGATAAACTTCCTTCAGGTACCTGCTTAACTTTTCACTTGTCACGCTCGCCTCACTCGGGGCGCGTCCCTTTCCGCTCTCCTCCTGCCTCGATGGTGGGGTCTGTGGTGCGTTTTGTTCCAGCTAGTTTCTGGGACACCCCTGACCCCCAGCCACAGATGACCCAACTTCGCCCTTCCTAGCGCCAACCTTTGCCAAGACCGGTTCCTTCCGCAGAAACCGGGTCCTTAACGTCTCCCGCCTCTGGTTCCACTGTCCAGGTAAGTGACGGCACCATCTTGCACCCAAGGAGAAAAGTCATATTTTCGCGGATTCCGGCTTTAGACCAAAAACAAAACAAAAAGCAAAAAAACCTCCCTAAGAAGCAGCAAACTCGCGCCTAAATTCGACCGTCTCATACACATCCATATATCTCAGCGCAGGGAGGGACAAGGAGCAGCTAATTTTGATGACTGCCTTTGCATTCAGCACTCGCTGTGTCTTGTAGAGAGCATGCTTTACAGAAACTTCATTTCATTTGCTCACAACCTCCCCCCCCCCCCCCCCCCCAAAGGCTGCCTTCTGGGATGAATGCTTTTAGAATTGCTTTCTTCTTTTCCTAATCTGGAATTTTGTTCCTCTGGCTTCAGCCTAAATCGCCGCCCGCATAAGCACGAAGACACATCCACAAACTGAGGGGGGCGGGGGGTTGGGTGGCGGAAATAGAAGAAAAAGAAAATATTCCACGTAAACAAGAAAGGCTGCAGGGGGATCGAGGCCCTAGCTGCAGCAAACCCCAAACGATCTCATTGCAGGGCGCCCACGAAATCCCGGCTATAATTGAGTGTTTTCTTTGAGGTTTTCTGACCATGTGCTTTTTACCATGGTTACTGTGACTCTGATACGAGAAGCTGGATATTTATTATGACCCGTCTCATCCTTTCCCAAAGGCTTATCTCCGCGGCCCTCATAAAGGAGAATAGAAAAGGAGAACTTTCCTGCCAGTGAGTTTAACCTGCCCCACCTTCCAGTGACCTGCCACATGCTCCTTTTTACTTTATAGACATCTGGGAATTCCATACATGCCTTAAACTCCAATTACACACCTTCTTCAAAGGACACGTGCTTTGATTTGCTAAGAAAATATTAGGAGGGCTCACGTTCTGGGGCCTTGGGACAAAAGCAAATGGAAAATGTATCCCATGGCCTGTTTACTGGGTCCATCTTTTGCTGTTCAGTAAGCAAGGATTATTAATAATCCCGTTTGCGTTTTCCAGGGCTTCGGTTGCTAGGTGTCTGCGAATCAGTGGGGTGATCGGCTTTCAGAAATTATGAGGAAACCTATTTCTCTTTCCGCTTTGCCCGTACACTTTCCTTCCACTTTTGCTGGTGCTGGGGGCGGGGCACGCTTTACGGCAAACCAGGAGAAAAATCTGGAAAAGTGGCCCCCGGGGACCCCTTTCCCGACCCCTGTTTGTGGCTGATGCGGGCCTGTCTCTGGAAAACGAAGTTGGGCCTTTGCCTGAATCTCCTGCTGCTGCTCCCCTTGCTACCGCTGACACTTGGAGCCGCCTCCTCCGCGCGCAGCGGCCCGACGCGGGGCCAGGGGCTGTCCACGCGGTCCCCGGAGGCCTCGGACACTGTCGCCGTCCCCACCGGGCGGCCCGCCCGCCACCCACGCCGGGAGTCCGGGCCGCCCCCGCCCGCGCTAGCCGCAGGTGAGACTCCCGCTCCCCACGGAGTTCTGTTTGGGTTTCCGTGGCGTTTGTTCCCCGCAGGTTTGTTTGTTTTTCTTCAAATTACAGATGCAGGGAAAACCGCCTGACATCATGAGAGTGGGACAAACGCTCACTTTGAAGGATTCCTGGGCAGGACTTCAAGTGAAATCATATGCCTGAGAAGAACTTGATACCGGTCTAGAGAAAATAACCAGTTCTGAGTTTGCCAAACCGTGGAATGTGCAAAATGCTCGACTTTTTTGCAAGAGGCCAAATGTCCCTTAAAAAGCTCCATTATGAATATAAGCCTGAGGACCTAAGGAGTAAGAGGCTTGTGTCCTTGCTGAGTGTGGGGGAAAAGTACACTAGGCTGTGTGCTTTTCTGCTCTCTCACGTTTATTAAAATGTTCCACTTTTGGGAGGGTACCTGCAACTGTGCATAAATTATCTTTTGTGCATGTGTTTGTTAGCAAGCGTGTGCATAAAGGGGAAATGTGTGTAATGGGAACACAAGTGTACTGCTTTCTTATGATTGAAGCCTATCAATCCAACGAAATTAAAACCATGATTAAAAGATCATGTGCACAGCAGAGGAAACGTTCTTAGTCAGTTATTTAGAATTCATCCAAGACAATTTAATACAATACTTTCGCTTCATTGATACATTCTGGCTAAAGAGAAAGACTCCTGGGTCCAGATACCACATTAAATTCTCACTTCTGAAACAGGTAATTCATCCTAAATGCCTTTTAAATAAGAATAGGTAATAAACATGAGATGAGATGAAAATAGGAAACACTGATAGAAACACAGTGCTTCATTTCTGTTCTGAAGCAGAATTGGTGTTGTGGTGTGTAAGGGATGGGGGAAGTTGGGTATACAGAAAATAGTCTGGCAAGCTGAAAACTAGATTCTTATAGTTAATATTTTCCACTGTGAATTCTTCTCACTCAAAGCAAAACTATTCACATTTCTTTCATTCATCTGAAAATGTCAGGAAAAATATTAGCTTCAGTTTAGTATTTAGTATTACTCAACATAAATGTGACATTTGCTTTTCTCCCAAGTTGAGAACTCTCTCACACACACACAAGAAAAAAAGAAAAAAGGCAAATGGAAGGCTACCTTTTTTGAAACTTTTAGTTTCTACATCATCAGAAATAAGATCGGAATTACCTTCTCGGCCTGGATGGTCAGCTCCATTCTGATGTACGTCAAGAAATCTGAAATATCAAATAGTCAGACCAAGCTAGTAACAAGATTCCTCCATGAACAATTTAGAAAATGGAGGTGGTTCGATGACACAGAAGAGAAAATCACCTTCTAGATGCCCTCCCTCATTTTCTAGGGCATCCTTCTTTACATTTCTGTTCTACACACACATACACACACACACATACACTCCACAGATAATCAGTTTCTGTCCTGTTATTTTGTAAAGAACTATAAAAATCTAAAAAAGCATTTCCTGAAGGTTTCACTAATCTTTTGGTATGAGTAAATTCTACAGGTTCCTTATTGCAAAACATGGTCTGAAATACTTACAATAATAAATTTACAATATTGTTATGTCAGCATTCTATGATGATGTGTGAAAAAGAGGGGAAACCTTCAGGTAATATAATAACCTCAACCAGAGCTGAGCAAACACTATTTTGAGTCACACATTTATTTGCTGTAGTCATTATTTGAATTAGGCAGCAAAATTATTTTCCAGTTTGAATACATCCCTAATTATACTTGAAGGCAATAAGCTGGATATAACTGAATAAGTTAGTGATACAAACTCACTATTTCCAATGGTATTCATTATAAAAGCTAGTATTTTTCTGGCCCAGAAATAACTAGAATGAAATTAAAAAGTCATGTACTATTTGTCCATGTTACACTTTTACTTAACTAAATCAGATTTTGTATACATAAGTAACCAGGGAAAAATTCTGTGGATAAATTTTACAAAATATATTTGCTAGTGAACTGACTAGAAAATGAACAGCTATAGCATTTAAAATTGCAACTGTTCCAATAATTACTGAAGATACTGAAAATTCAGATTCTTTGTTTTCTGTGTAGCTGTATGGAGCAGCTTATAAGGAGCCTGCTTTCCAAATGGATATCAATATGGGAAAATATTAACTTTGACTTTTTGTTTTAGCAAATGACATTAAATGTCATTCTCATTCGTGAGAGAAAGTTAAGCAAATTATAAGTGGAATTCTCTTTCATGTGGAATTAAACTTTATTTTCTATACATTTGTATTCATTTACATGTGTGTATACACATCTATCTATAGATAGGTAATTTTGATAACACTTTATGCATGCTTTCATTGAAATAAACTTATTACTTAAAAATCCTCATAAAGTGTGGAGAGCATGACAAAAACACACAGTAACAAGAGAAAATAGTGCTGACTTATACTGCTTATTTGCTTAACTGTTTTACAACTGGATTCTCAAAATATAAGCAAGAGAGGTGAATAACTATTAAGTTTTTGCTGTCTGGGGACCTGATAAGAGATGAAGGAGAGATGCTAAGTTCACTGAACACCAAATGGGAATAATGATAAAGCTGTCTTTCTACATAACATGCCCCTACCTGTCAATAACTAGTTTGAGGTTTTCACTGCTTTGTTTATATTAATGCCCTCTCACCCTCCTGGGTGTCTCCAGAGTTAAACAAGCAGGTATTTACTGCCAACTTAATCCTTTAAAAATATAGACCAAACTTTAAGGTTCTTACAATTTTCAATCATATTTATTTATTGCAGAAAAATAATGTACAAAGATATTTACAAAACAATCATAAAAATATGAATGCATTTAGACACCGGATCTATTTGCATTTTACCATGGGTCATCAATAAATAAATAGAATGTTGTTTTTTGTTATTTTAAGTTTTTTTTTCCCTCAGAGGAAGAATGAAAAAAGGAATTAACTGACTGTGATTTTGTGAGTCAGTTTGATCCCAGTATTTTTATTTCTAAAGGTGTTCTTAAAATTCCTCTGATCTTTACCATTTTAAAATGGAGAAAGTCCATAATGATGCCTTTCCTTTCAGTGGCTGATTGGCACGACCTCTTGAGAATGCATGCATGAAAAAATAAAAATAAAAACATTCTTCGTCAAACAAAACAAAACAAAACAAAAAAACAACAAAAAAGAGGAGGAACACAAACAACTGTTCAAACTTCTATCAGAATGCAGAGGTGTGAGGATGGTGCCGCTGCCCGTCTGGGAATCACTGTCCACGGGCCTGTCTCGCTTTCTCTTTTAAAAGTGCGCCCCACGCCCTGTTTCTTTGAATTTGGGTTCTGCTCTTCTAATTTCCAAGAAAATGTTTGGCATATATATTTATTTTTAGTTATCCAGCTCCAGAGTCTCTAGACTGTCCATTTTCTCCTTCTCTGGAAACAATGACATCTGCAAAAACCCAGAGGGGGGAAAGTTGGTTATTGTTTAGGTCTCTGTGGCTGTTTTGTACAACTAGTGAGCACTGTTCTTATCACCACCACGGAGAAATTGCGCTGAACAACCTGGAAGGATTTCAGCCCAAGGGCAAGAGGAAGTGGGTGGGCGGAAAGAAGGAGGAGGTGGAATTTGGAAACATTTGTTTTAAGGAGAACGAAAACTTAACGCCAAAAGAAAGAGAGGCGCTGGCAAGGCTGTCCTTACCCGTGACCCTCGAATCTTTTTCGGTCTTCACTCCTGTCACGCACACTCACGCACACGCACACCCCTCAGCAGGGCGCATCCTCCTCTGCCTAGCGGGGACTGAGCTCCCTTCCAGGAACCCGCGGGGGGATGAGGTGGCGGTGCCAGGTTAGGTGTGAAAGCGGAGAGGGGAGTGGGAGACGGGGAGGAAGGCCAGGTGGATCGGGAGCCGCACCCCAGCCTTCCGTCTGCCACCTGAGAGGCGAAGGGGCGCAGAGGCGCCGGGTCCTTACCTAGGTCTCCGGCCCTGCCGAGGGGGTGGGGAGCTCCGCCTGCTAGTGGGACGCGGACATGGACCAGGCCCCCTCCATCCTCCAGACCGAGAAGGCGTAGCTGAGTCGCTCGTGGGCCACATAGCTGCAGCTTGCCATCTTGGAGTCCAGCTCGTCGCTCTGTAGGACCTGGTAGAGGAAGTCGATGTACCTGGCCGCCAACTTGAGGGTCTGGATCTTGCTCAGCTTGTCGGAGGGCAGCGTGGGGATGATCTTCCGCAGCGCGGCAAACGCCTCGTTCAGTGACTGCGTGCGCTGGCGCTCCCGCACATTGGCCATGACCCGCTGCGTCTGCAGCTCCTCGTAGGACTGCGGACTCCCGCCGCCGCTGCTGCTGCCGCCGCCGCCCGCGCCGCCGCCGCCGCAGCACCCTCCGCCCGCTCGCCCCGACCCCGCGCACGCCTCTCACCCCCAACGCCGCACTCCTGGGCGCCCCTCCAGAACGCCCGCCCTCCGCCCGCACGGTCACACACACAAACCCTACCGCCGAGGCGCAGCCCCGGCGCGGTAACTCGCCAAGGACCCGCGCCCCGCCACTGGGACGTCCTGGCTGGTCAAGGCGCGGAGGTTGTACCGTTAACTTGTCTTGTTGAGCCCAGAAATGTTGTGAGCACGAATACACACTGCATCCGCTCGAAGTGCGCCCCCTCCTAGCTCTATACAGGCCCTCGGAGTCAATAGAAAGGGTCCTGGTCCCTGTGCCTGCGCTGCGCCGGCTGCTGCGCCGCTTGCGCCCCCCGCGCTTGCCGCTCGGGGGCTGCTGCCGGTCCGGCTCTTCCTCGCTGTTGCTCAGGCTGTCGTCGGCCGGCGAAACTGGCGAGCTGGACACGTCCTGCATCATCTCTTGGGCGGCGACGTGCGGCCTCGCGGGCCCGGGGCAGAAGGGCGGCCCGGGGAAGAGGAGGAGAGCGGGGCGCCTCAGCCCGCCAGCTTCCCCCGCGCGCGGCGCCGGCCCGGGCGGTGCGGCCCGCGGAGGAGGGAGCGGGAGGAGGGACAGGGAGGATCTCCGCGGGGAGGGCGCGCGGGGGAGGCGGGGAGGGAGGCGGGAGGGGGAGGGGACGGTGTGGATGGCCCCGAGGTCCAAAAAGAAGGCGCCCAACGGCCGCACGCACACCCCGCTCGGCCTCCTGGAAACGAAGCCGGTGTCGGCGAGCCCGCGAGGTGTCTGGGAGCTGGGCGAAAGCTGGAGACTTGGAGGCTCTTATACCTCCCGTGCAAGCGGAAAGTTTGGGGGCAGCAGTGTCATTGGCCTGACGTGGGGAGGAGGGACTTTTCGAAGTTTTATAGGAAAGTTTCCGCTTTCCAGCCCCCCTTTCTCGTCCCCACCCCCCTTCCTCGGGGTCTAACAATTCGTCCTCCCAAACCATTCAAAAACGACCTGGCCCAGGCGGCCGGCCCCTCTGCCCGCCTCCTTGCTGCCCTCCCCCTTTCTTCCCCGCCGCCCTCCGCCCGCGGGCGCGGGGCGATTTCCTTCCGCGCCGGAGCGCGCCGGCCGCACCCCCGCACCCGAGCGCAGCCCGGGGAAGCGACCGGAGGGGACCGTACCCGCCGCCTTGTCGGTCCCTCCTGGAGCGCCTGTGACGGCAGCGGCGACGCCGGCTTCTACACAGTGGGTGGAAGTCTCAGCTCGCCCCAGTACCCTTTAGGTCCGTGGAGCGGTTTGGGGTCGCTGGGGCGGGGGTACTGGCAAGAATACCTGCGACGGCGGAGCCCACCCGATGGTCAGGTAGACGAGGCCCTGGAGTCCCAAGGGCCAAACCACCGTGGCTGGTCCTGAGGTCGTGGGCGTTTCTGAAGACGTGGCCGCGCCAGGGACTGTAGATCTGCTCCTCGGCCTGTTCTCTCATCCTTCCTCGAGAAGCAAGCCGGGCGTTTCTTTTCCCTCCACAGTGACCCAATCTGACGTTTCCCAGCACCCAAAGGACTACACCTCCGAAGGTGCTAGAAAAAGGCAGAAGTTCATTCCCCCGAAGAAGGCAGCCCTGTTCTTGGAGAAGGCAGCAGGGCCGGAGGTGGGCAGCGCAGTGTCTTCGCCAAGGCCCTGATTGCCTGTGCTGCTAGTCCAAGGTGGAGTGCCTGTGGCCACTTCATCCTCATCCCCTTCCCAGATAAAGCCCTGCATTATGACTGTCAATGTCGTCTGAGACAGTGAGATGGTGCTCGACACTGCCTGGACACGCGGGGCTGAGGGCTGCGAGGGCCCCCTTCCCCACCCTCACTCTCCACCCCTGGGAGGTTCAGTAAGCAATTCTGTTGCGCGTGCCACAAACGCAGCGCAATTATTTGGACACTTTTACATTTTAAGCGTTTCTATTTAATAAGTCACAATGAAGAGGCCCAGAAGAAGGTGTTCATGTAGATTCTGGCAAGTCGGAAGCAACAAAAGTTCGTGAGCTGGAAAGGAAAGGATGCTGCTGTGAAAGAGAAGCCCATTTTTGCGATGCTAGGCATTTTTTTTTTTTTTTTTAACGAGTCGGGAGAGAATAACCGTTGTATGTTCATTCTTTAAGTTGTAAAGCAAACCAGAAGTCAAAACAGTAATTGTTTTTCGGGGCAAATTTGGGAGTGCGGAAGTTGGGTGCCCTGTGTTCTGGTTCCCTGCGCAGGCCGAGGTCTGCTCATCCTGTCCATCGTCTGGACTCTAAGCAGCGAATTAACTCAGAGAAGCTTCCTTTTCTGGGCCAGACGGAGGGTCTCGGCCCACAGTGTCCGGAGGAGCAGGCGGGAGCCCAGGCGAGGCGCGGGCAGGCCACGTGGCTGCAGCCCGCTGAGGTTCGCGGCTGCAGAGTCCGGTCCCAGAAACCCTGGGGTCTGGAGCGCCGGGGGCCGGTTGAAGGGTTCAGCCTCCTAGGGGAAGTGAGGGCGAGAAGAGAAGGATCCATTCCGCGAAGGGCAAAGGAGACTAAGCTTTCCTGGGAGGGGCGACCCGCAGGGTTCGTCTATCACTATTTTTTACAAATATTCATAGACAATGACCACAGCGTGCCAACACGCCTGCTTCTCGGGTCGCTGACATATTTTAAAATGAATGCCTGTCTGAAAATCAGATTCTACTTGACCTCCACTTAATAGTTTACAGCCGGGTCTTCTTAAAGCACATTCAGATAAGTCACTCCTGTGAGTGCATCTTCTGCATACAGGATATGATTTCTTGGAGCAGTTAGAGAATAGGCAGAAATTGTTTTCTTAACTTTTGATCTCTGAGCATTCCGCAGTTCTTATTTGAACGTTACCTATGTCTGTGGGTTGTTGTTGTTTTTTCAAATGTTATTTTTTCCCCCTTTCAGCTGAATACTCGAAAATAAAGAGATCAAATAATTGGACTCTTTCCTTTGTGGCTATGGGTAAGCAAGACAGGAAAGTGTGGGCAAGGTAAAGGAAACCTTACCTGCCCGAGGGGAGTTGGAGGGGTGGGGTGGGTACTGGGATGAAAATGGGGCTGAGAAGCCTAGGGAGAAACAGAGTCCCCAACAGCGCAGCATTAGCTGGCCCGACTTGCAAAATCATCAATCTCTAAGACTAGTTCCGTTTTAAATGAGCCCAGCCCTTCTCTGGGCATTCAACTTCTGGAGATAAAGAGCTCCTAGCCACTGCCTACAGAGATCCCCGGGAGTGAGGCCATGCTATGGATACCAGAATGCTTAAAATAGTGTTTAACATGAATGAAGTAAACCAGAACTATCCCAGGCACGGAGTCTTCTTGACCAAGTCACATTGAATGACTTTAGTTCTGGGGGGAAATAAAAATTCTCTCCTACTCTTCAAAGGAGTGAAAAATGAGGATAAAAGTTCTTGAGTATTTAAAAGTTAGTTTTTAAACAGAAGGTTGTAGCTTGACTAATGAATTACCTTTCAAAATGTCTGAGGCTTGATGCTCCTACTTTGCAAACTGCAATCTTTCCTGGCCCATTGTCCCATCTGTATTCCACTTAACATTTATGTAACAAATTTCTTATCCACACTTGCTGGGGCAAGAATAAAGGCAAACTCTCTTTTTATGTCCTTAAGAGTTGAATATAATTCTGGATATTTTGTATATGCAACAATAATGATGACTTCCACAATATTTGGTTTACCATATGAAAACTTAGGTAGTTCTAAAATCCCAATTTCAGGCTCTTTAAAAATGGTCTAGGAATTTCCCTTTGGGGCTGGACTCAGCCTGACTTAAAGGATGTCAGTGGAAGACTACCTTCTTTGGGAATTCTGAATGCACTGGAATTAAATCATTTAATCTACTTCTAAAATAAATGCCCTAAAAAAATTAACTGAAAACAGAAAAGTTTTTCTTTTGCAATCGGATAATTCAAAATGAGCTTTGTTTTCAAACTGCAAACTTGGCATGTTCACAGTCCTTCCTGAGGAATGTGTACTGTTAAAATGTGAAAAAAGAACACTGTTAGAAGTAATAGAGTTACAAATCTCATGCTCAGCATATCCAAAAAGTATATATGTATCTGTATTCTTCAAATTTGAATCCGCACTGGCATTCTCCTAGCAACCTGTATAAATACTTTCAGAGAAGGAAAAGAAACATGCATACACCATAACATTAGCAAGCTGGCACAGTTTGAAGTTGGGATTTGCACAAAAGGTGAGCACTTGAGTATGTTCCTACTCCTTCCCCTCAGGTTTTGGATGACCTACCACCTGTTTGTTGGCTTAAGAGTTCTGTGAAATAATTTCTCTGGATTGCATGAATGAAGCACGGAAATATTCACACAGAAGGGGGCGCAGATTGGAAAAGGCTGCATTTGAGTACATCTCAGATGAGAATGTACACGTTAGATTTCATCTTGTTTTGAACACTTCACAGGGATTGAGATTACCTACTTCACTGTTTAAGTGAGGGAATGTTATCAAAGTGAAATATAAGGGTCTGTGTCAGCATAAGTGACCTGGATAACTGTGTGAAAGCAGATTCTTTTTCATTGACACTGGTAGCTTTCAGGATGTTTTACCTTCCCCTAAAGAGGTCATTCTCTTTCTCTTTTAATGGTAGTTTAATTCATGAATTTAACTGATTCTACCTTTGTCTTTCTTGATCTTCTTTAAGAATAGGATAAAAAATTATGAAATTTGAAGCTTCCAATCCAGAAATAAAATGGAAAAGTACAAGGCACAAGAAATGGAGTTCCCAACAGCACCTCAAATGAGCGAATCAAATTTTCAATAAATATTAATCTTTAATATATCCGACATTCTGCACTGAAAATTAGGATAGGATTAGGAGACATAGTGCAACAGACTTGTAGGGAGAGACAAATCTGTGTGGAAAAGTATAGAGTCTTGAGGAGTCTCCTCTCATCCCTTTTATTACTTTATTGGGTTTGCATGCTAGAAAGTTTATGTCCCAGCTTTGCTGCCACTAAAACTGGTTGAAATATGCTCTCACTTATTTCAGAGTTGCTGGAATGACTGAAGAAATAATGTAAGAAATACATAGTTATCCATAGCGGCTTTTATCATGGCCACAATTTTCCTACATCATAATCATTTTTATCTCTTCTTTCTAATCATCTGATGATCAAATAATTTAAATATAAGTTGAATGGTTTACATTCTGTGTTTTTCCTGCTAAAGTTCCCTTTCTGATTACTCACAGCTTTCATCTCTCTCTTCACTTCAAGGGATTTCCTTTTTTCACAAGTGGCTTTTCCTGAAGCCTTAAATCCTATTTCCATTGTTTGGATTAATTCTTCCTGCAAAATCATGTTGTTTTTGCCAGTGACCACAAGAGGACACAATTTCCCAGAGAACTTTGTTGAAAAAGAAACTTATAGAAGAGGAAAGCTATCAAAATACTAAAAATATTACACATCAAAGAATGTCATTTGTGGA